GATTATGTCAGATATTAAACTAATGACACCATTGTGAATACCATGATAATTATACAGCGTATAATAAAATATCACCAGACTAGCTCTTGCCGGTGACTCGTCCGCGTGGAATTCCAATGTTCAAAACTAACTTTTACCTCTTGTTTAACATATAAAGTACTTAGTATTTGTCTTAAAGATTTTAAGTCAAGTAAATTCTAATGCAGAAATGTCATCTCTTCACATTTTGAACTTATAAGGAATGATTTTTTTTTGTCCAAAATATGTAGTCCCTGATGTCAGTGGTTTTTACTGTGCGTTAAAAGTTAAGTCAGTCAGTTCCCTCTTTTACATATATAGATAACATTTGCTATAAAACGTTTTCCAGTTCCACTTATTCAAACATATTACGTTCAGTGTTCGTGTAAGCTTTATAAAACGTATATCAACATGGAAGAGAAATGGTCGTATTTCTGTTTGAAACCGCATTTAAGGAATCTGCGCTACGGTGGTTACTGTGCATTAGATCCCAGTACACCACCGAGACGTTTATATGCACACAAAATGTACATGCGATTTATTTTATTTGCTGCAATCATTTTTATGATCCAACATGCTATTAAAATTTATGTAGTTAGTATTTAATTTTGTATAATTTGTTGTATTCTACTATAGTTCGGAGTTAAAATGTTTGTTTCACATATAAAGTAATGGACATTAAATGGTTAATAATGTTATTTTTTAAGGTGCGTAATGATATGAACACCTTAATGGACACGATGTTTCTATTGTTCACTTACTTCGGCTCTATTTATAAACAAATCGTGATGATTTCGAAAGCTGATGACGTACAAGCACTTTTAAACACAATGAAAGGTACGATTGGTGCGTTTTTCATAGTCAAAAAGTTTTTTTTTACTGAGAATAACGCTCAATAACGAATGAAAACCACGTAATCACACATCACAAACTAAAACAATATTAAATTATTGTCTTGAAACGAATATAAGTACAGACAATTGATATAAGTCTACGCTTTATCAATAAAAGGAACAACAAAGTTGACACGTAGAAAAATATTCAATAATCAAGACGAGCACATACAATCCCACAATTTTTACAGTTGTGTTACCACTGTTCTAAGAAACTGTTACTCCTTCAGATTTGGGCTTTAGAAAAATTATTTCTGTGTATTTTAGCCGCTTTTTGCTAGTTTTCTTTATTTGTAAGACATTGTTATTTTCTTTAAGGGTTCGTAAATAGATGGAAATCAAAGGTGCCCTTCGATCCTCGCATACTCTTTTACAGGACTTATTAATTTGTATTTTTATAGGAGATTTGTTTAATCAACCCGAAGAGATGCATTACAAGCTGCTCATAGGTACTGCGCGCGAAGCCAAAATTCTTGTAAATACTTATAGCTTGGCAGCATTTGTTAATGGTATTCTCATGGGTTTTCATCTACTCATATTATATTTGCAAGGAAAGCCCGTTGAATTTTGTATTTGGTTTCCTTTTGAACTGGATACAAAACTAAAGTAAGTCAGTCACCGTAAAATCCTACTGTTTTGTTACTTTTACACCCTTTCCTCTATTTTAGGTCTTTGATACAATAAAGTGGTTAAACTTCTATAAGTTGCAATTATTATTGCCGTTTCGTTTGTAATAACAATGAATTTAATCAATTTAAATACAATCGTACTCAATGTAAATTGGGACGTATCGCCATAGCTTATAATGTAGTTATTACGTTTTCCAATATAGTATTAATAAGTCATGTTGTTTCAGATTTTCTTTTGCATTATTTTATTACTATATTCAGGTTTCGTGGATTGCGGTTAATATAACAACGCTAGATGCGTTTATAACATCCTTTTTGCATCAATGTACGGCGCAAATTAATATTTTGAGGTCAGATAAAATCTATTTAATTATTCATTTTTACATACATGCTTCTGAATTACTTTATGAGGATTTTTTTTAGATATGACTTGGAAAATTTTGTGGAAATATGTAAAATTAAATCAATAGATTCGAATATACCTTTAATTCAAGCCTATGATACGAAGTTTAGAAATATGACATTGCATTTTTTAGAAATTCACAAGTAAGTATTTTATAAAAGCTTTATATCCAGATAGCGAAGAGACTTCTGTCGATCGACTTCGACGATACACAGAAAGAGTATATTTCCCCTCCCTAAAATGTGTCTTAACAATACAAGTTCTCAGTTCTAAAGTGCAATTTAAGTCTATAAAGTGTGACTATTTTTTAGATTCTTCTCAAAAGCCGAAGCGACTTACAGCGGAGCCATATTCTGTCAGTTTTTGTTTGGAGCATGGATTTTGTGCACCACTGCCTATAAAATTGTTGATGTTCGTATATTTTATCACACTTAAGTATGGCCAATAAATGTTGATGTATTAATTAAACGCTTATTTTCAGATTGATAAAACATCATTAGCTTTTATGACAATCATAATATTCTTGATGTGCATTTTTGCGGAATTATTCTTGTTTTGTTTCTACGGCAGTAGGCTAACAGATGCGGTAACTATTACATATTTTTTCTTCTTGAAGTCTTTTTTAATATGGTTGGTATTTCATAAGGTTTTTTGAGTTTATTCATTTACAATATTTTCGATTTAACAAAAAATATTGCTTATGTGTTGTTTTTTTGCTGGTCGTCGGCGTCATTTAAAATGTTTATAGAGAAAAAAAAATCCCTTCTAGAGCATAAAGTTAATGGATTCAGCATATTTTTTGGACTGGGTAGAAATTCCAATGCAACATAGAAAGAATCTAATGTTATTTATGGAAATGATAAAGAAGCCAATCATGCCTACGGCGGGATCTATAGCGCCGCTTGCAAACACTACTTTTGTTTCAGTAAGTTCACGGAACACAATTTATTTCTTCAAGTAAACCTTACTTAATGATTAATTTTATTTAAGAACAATTTTTATTGAGCTAGTTGTTATTCCCACTTCTTTGAGATAACCATTATGATAGTACTTTAAAAGAAAATATAAATTTTCTACTGCTTTCAAGGTTTAACTGTTCCCTTTGCCTTTCAGATTGTCAAAAGTTCTTATTCTTTCTACGCCTTTCTAAAAAACACGGAAAATTAAACTTAACTTACTTCATGATTTATTTTACTTTCCACTTAAATGTAATGAAGCTTTTAATAAGATAACATTAAGCGACAGTTGTCGACGTGACGGCGAAGCGGAGGAGGTGGAAGCAAAAGTATAGCACAATACAGTATAGGTAATTTCCACGTAAGCTCACATTTCCGATTACATTACTCGACCGCTAATGATCGTCGCCAGTTTCGTATCCGGAGATTTTTACACAATATTAAAATGTTATATACGTATAATTCGTTTTATTTTATTTAATAGAAAATTAAGCAGCATATCTGTAGAAAATTTTCTCTAGTCTTTTTTTAATAAGAAAAAGCTGCTATTCAATGTGAATTGAGAAAATTTATAAAGCTAGATTAAATTTATTTTTCTTACTAACAAGTAAATATAATGTGTGTGCATAACTAACTAAAATATCCGATTTATTACCCAATTGGTAAAGAAGATATGTAGGTAATGTTTTTCGCCCGTTATGTAAGTTCGTTTGTTTCTTGTATGTGGGTTTGTATGTGTGTAAATGAAGTGAAAGTATGGAGTGAAATTTTTAAAAAATAGAGAAAACAAACGACTTCATGTCCCACTCGCCATAACTCTTTTTAATTATCTAATGAGCTATGATTGGGCTTTAAACATAATACCAAGTTAATTTGCCTGATTGAATGATTTTGTAGAGTGAATTCTAAGATATGAAAGTGTCATACTATGCACCATTCCAGGTCATTTATTATTTTAGTTTTAAAAGATATCAACAGATGGCGCTCATTTTTATCTATTAAAACATCAAATGTTAAATATCAAGATACTATTAATAGCTACAAATAATGATTAATTTTTGTTTTTAGCATCCCATAATTCATATCATTCGATTTAAGATTAAAGTTTATCCCATAATAAAGTTATCCCATAATCAACATTCCTATCGTCGAGTAAATGAAAGTTTTTTTTTTTATAGTATAAGGTAGCAAACGAGCAAGCGGCCACCTGAATCCAACGAAATGGAAAGCGACCACTGCCCATGAACATCCGCAATTGCAGATTCGTTGCCTACCCTTAATTGGCAGAGGAGGAGACGCACATAAAGAGGACATTTCCCCTTCCTATGCATCTCCTCCACCGTCAAATCCACTTTTCCTTCCCATCCTTTCCTCTTAAGAAAAGGGTGTAAAGGGAAAGGGACTAAAATTAGGCCTCCGTCACCACACTCATCAGACAAAACACGGAATAGCTTCCATTTCACTTCACTTCATTTAATTTGCGATAAAAATCGCAAACAGACCCTACTCAAAACAACTAATAGCCAAAATTCAAGCTATTTTCTTTTTTTATGCTTATAATGTTAGGGTCTATAATTGTTTAATATTGTAGAGGGCACAGCACACTGAACCAGCACAAGAAACTCCACACAGGAGAGACTCCATACCACTGTGAATACTGTCCTAAGAAGTTTAGTCGACGGACAGGACTTGTTAATCATATTCGGATGCACACTGGTATGTGTTGACACCATAAAAACTATATTTCATGGATATTACAATTTATTTTCAAATTGTAAATTACATCAAAGATGAAAACGTTTAGAGTACTCTTTTAGAAAATCCTTGAATGGATCTGTTTCAAAATGACTAAAGTAATGTTACTTTGTTATGTAAGATGTCAGCAATCACAGTATATTTTTGGTTAATGCTTTATTTAATAAAAATCGCTACACTTACAACTTACTATAGGCTACAATTTTCGCGCAATCTAATCATGGGTTCATCATCATTTTTAGGTGAAAAACTATACAGTTGCGATATTTGCTTCAAGAGTTTTGTTCAAAGCGCACAATTATCTATACATATGAAGAGGCACAAAGGTGACAAGCCATATTTATGCCAAGATTGTGGAAAAGGTAGATATAAAACCTTTACATAAGCATTTCAAATTTTGTGAATGATATTAACGTGTTCTATATTGACCGTATAGCCATCTAGTTATCGATAATTGAAATTCGTATTATCATTTTTTCCATAGGTTTTCCAATTAAAGCTGATTTAAAGGTTCATCAAAGGATACATAATGGAGAAAAGCCATATTCTTGTCACCTGTGTGATAAAACATTTGCTACATCGGGAAATCTTTCAATACATGTTAGGATACATAATAAAGAAGTAAGGTAAGAAAATCTATGGCATTACCTATTATATTGTTTATGAATATTCAAATATTACAGATTTTTTTTAATTATAACCAACTTGAAATGACTACCATTATTTGAATATAGTTGAAGTGGTAGAATGTTATTTAATAGAAATGTGAAATTATAAACAGACCTATCTAAACCTTTATAAACTGTAATCACAAACTTTTTTAAAAATGGATATGTTATATCCATTTAAACAGTTTTTTTAATAAATCCATAGACAATAAATTACATTTTCAGCCAGTGATGTGTGTATTTTATTAAAAGTTAAATTGTAATAATGAGTTTTAAAAATACGCAAATTGATATGCTAATCCGCCTTTTTAGTTATTCTAAGAATTAATTTATTTGTTTACAGATATAAATGTAAAGAATGTCAGCGAGGTTTTGTCACATGCAGTGCATATAATGTACATTTAAAGAGACACAAAGGCCAAAGAGATTATCATTGTGAATGTGGTAAAACATTTTACACTTCATCGGCTTTAAAACAACATAAAGTTGTCCATACAGGAGAAAAGAATTACAAATGCAAAATATGTGATAGGAAATTTTCACAATCAAGTCATTTAGGGAGACATTTTAAGCGGGACCATGCGAAACAAATTCCCGTTCCAGCTAATTATTATAAATTAATTTCTATGCCAGAGACAAATAAACCGTTTGACGTATTTAACCAACAAATGGCGCCAAATGAAAGTGTCAAATGTGAAGGATCATAGTGTTGCCATATTTATTTTATAAAAATAGATTTATTTTTCAAATTGAGATGTACAAAAACAGGTAGGAGTCTATTTAAGTAACAAATACTCATTTATTTATAACAAGCAACCAAATACTTATAATTCTGGTTACAAATATTAGTTTTGTAAAATTTTACCGAAATAAATTTTGTAGATGTTGTTGTGAAGAATGAAAGGTAATCTCTTTGTCAAAGTTGATTGTATAATAGTGCCGTATTTATTTAATTTATCGTAAAGTACATTTAGTTTTAAGTGAAGTTTGTATGAAAATAAATGTTTTGCATCGACTGTTTGAAGCTTTTCTAATTTCGAAAATTTAATTCTGAACCATTTTTATCATGTGATATTTTAAAATCTCCTTTACTGTTAAAAACAGAGTACTATAATATGTATAAGCAGTATTTTCGTAAATTACGACTTTCAAAATTAACACCAGGAGGTAGCTGCCATAGGGACTGTAATAGATGACCTTAATTTTTTAAATTACGGCTAACAAAGTTTGTGGGGAGAAGCTCGTCTAAAATAAAAAAGGTCTAGAATAACGTTGAGCATAAATAAAAAGTAACATAAACACATTTTTAAATCTGTATCTGTGAAGTGTACTCTTTGAAATGTTTCTGGTGTTTTGGATTATATACTCTTTGGCTGTCATTGGCATTTTGGTGGCATTGTCATCTAAAAGCAGTTTTAGTTCTAGTTTTTTGTTTTTCCTTATTTTTAAGTTAATAACTCATAATGTTAGCAAATTAATAAAATTAGGATGACAATGGAAAGGAGGATTAAGTTGAAAACACTCAATAGTCACATTACATGTAAAATTTGCCGTGGATACTTCATCGACGCGACTACGGTTACCGAGTGTCTTCATACGTGTTAGTATTCTCATAATTCATTATATTATAAAGTTTTATCCACTATTATACCAAGATAATTAAGAACGCCTTTCGCTGGTTCAGAAAATATCATAACTCTTAAGTTTACCACTTTCTTTGTTTCATTAATTTCTGTGTTTAGACTGTATTTAAAACAAGTTTCTCACGCAATTCTTATGACTATTTCAATCTTTGCACTTACTCAGGTGTATCTAGAATATTAGTTTATCATGGATCTACGTATTTAAAAGGGTTATAAGAGGTTTTTTTTTTAAATTTCCATCTTTCTTGTTTCAGTCTGCAAGAGTTGCCTGGTGAAGCACTTGGAAGAGAACAATACGTGTCCAACATGCAACATTGTGATCCACCAGTCCCATCCCCTGCAGTACATAAGCTTTGATAGGACCATGCAGGACATTGTTTATAAATTAGTGCCCGATTTACAGGACAGTGAGTTCTAGTTTATTTATTACTTGTGACCTCGCCTGCATAAAATAAAAAAATAATAAAACAATGCTTTTTAATGGTTAAAGAATTTTTAAAAATGGCTCAGTGGTATTTGAGTTATTTTAATAGATACAAAAATACAAATCTTTTCTCTTTATAATATTAGTATAGATATCAACCTGACCTTGTCCCTACAGAGGGTCGGCTCAGCATGTACTGTTCTTCCATACATATTTATCAGCTGTCATATCTTAATTCACTCTCTTAACTTCTTTTTTACTCTAAATTCAATTGTGTCCAGTTTGACAAACAACCAATTAAAATAAATCTACTGAACTGGTAAAGGGAAAAATGTGTGAGATTTTAATAAGCTTGTTGGTAACATATAATATTTTTTTTTGCCACAATACTCGTGTCAAATTAAGCATTACGAATATCCTCTTTCATACACAATCCATCCATACTTTGCAAAATTCTTGTTTTGAATCATCATCAGTTCGAGGTCCAGCATTACTCTATAGTCCTCTGATAAAGTTTAAAAATAATTATTGTAAATTCCAGATGAAATAAAACGCGAGAGAGATTTCTACAGAGCGAAAGGTCTACCATGTCCTAAGGATGCAGCGCTCGCAGCAGACAAACCTGGTGCTGGTGACGAGCCAGAACAACCTGATAACACTGACTGTCATAGGAAGGATGAACAGGTAAATATTTATCAGACCATATGCTAAAAATATTTTTATTTGTTGATTGTTATATAAAATTGTTATTAAAGCGTTAATCGTCTAATGGTTTGGGGTACGGACAATCTTGAGGTTGAGGGTTCGAATCCCTCCATTTGACTATTGTCGTGAACCATATTCTAGCACAAGCCTACAGCTTAGTTGGTTACAGGAAATATTAGTACATTAACAAAAATCTACTATTATTTAAAGAAAATTGTTATTATTATCTATACTGGTGTTTTAAAGAGTAAAGAATTGTTTTTTTTGTATGTGAAAAACTCAAAAAGTACTCTTTTGTTTATATAAAGAATAAGATAGTAGTAGCTTTTTTTACTATTAGAAATGTCATATTCACTTAGTTATATAGGCTATATTTATTGCTAGTTTTTTTTAATTTGTCATATTTGAAATCACAAGTAATAGCTAGTTAGCTAGTTTATAACAAATAGCCACAAATATTTTTTTAATTATTGTCAGACAGTATTTTTACATAGTTAAAGAAACTTCTTTAAATAATCCAAGTACTGGTATCTTTGTATATTGTAATCTTTACTAATCCTGTGTATTAACATTGATTGTTTTAAATTTGCAGGTGAATGTTTGCTTGGAGTGCATCTCAACATCTTTACGCACATTGAAGCGCAGCTTTATTAGATGTTCAGCACAAGCAACTATAACACATCTAAAGAAGTTTATAGCCAAGAAAGTGTTAAGCGGCATGGAGAAGTATAGAGAAGTAAGTGTACAACCTTTTTAGATAATCTTCTTGGGATACTTGATTATAACTGAGATATCGGAGGACTGGATTATTCTAACTAATTGAAAAAATTCATTTAATGTGAGAAAAGGGCAAAAATTAGTAATTATTAGCCAATGGCAAAGGTCTTACATTTAAAGATTTGAATTTCTATGTTTCAAAATTTTATTTTAAACCCTCAAGTCAATTGTGTCTGCTGTGACAGACAACTGATTTAAAAAATCTATGTCGTTCATATCATCACTTTTATATTTCTTCTTATCATCATAAATTTACTAAAAACTACCAAACTACCAAAAACTCAGTTGAGTAAGTTGGGTAAGGAGTCATCGTCATCTCCTTATCCTACTCCCATAGGCTCTGCGCAACAAGTTTTTGTCACATAACTATCATATGTCATCTCAGTCATTGCTTCCTTCTTGATCATGTCACCTTTCATGCAATCTATCCATCTCTTTCTAAGCCTATCTCTACCGGTTTACCACACTCATAACTAACCTCCTTGTTACTTGTAATTCATCCCTCATAACATGATAAGGAGTGTAAATAATAAAAAACTTATGAAATGTTGCCCGAATAAGCTAGTAATTTAATATTTTGTTATACAGATAGACATCTTATGTAATGATGAGTTGCTCGGTAAAGACCATACACTGAAGTTCGTGTATGTGACGCGTTGGCGGTTCCGAGACCCGCCGCTGCGGCTGCAGTACAGACCTAAGATAGACTTGTAGATTACTTACTATGTGTTGTAATGCGATTTTGATTATATTACTAGCTGTTGCATGTGACTTTGTCCTCTTGGAAAAAAAAAACAGCCGTGATACTGACTGATAACATAGCTTTTTAATGTTTAAAGAATTTTAGAAATCGGCTCAATAGTTTTTGAGTTTTACAGTATATACAAAAATACAAATCAACCCTTTCTATAATGTTAGTATAGATTACTAATATAAAATATTTGATGTATAGTTCCGATAGATAATTCCGTACAGAGTCGCAGGCAACAGCTTGTATAAACTTAAGAAAAAATTACAAATAAATGTTATTTAAATCGCATTATAGGGGATATGTAATACCCTACATTGATACCATTTTATATTAGTAGTTAATTGTCACCAAATGTGATGAATTTTTATACCTTTAGATAATAAATGTTATAATCGAATATTATATTGTTTTTATATAAATTTTTAGTTTAATAATTTCAATTTTATATAATAATAGTCAATTTTCGTCCATACTGCCATTTTGTCTGACAATTTAATGTTTTCTATCAATGTAATTCGCGGAGATTTTATTTCTATGTATAAAAAAAAAATTAAAAGTATAATCTGTGTACAATAAATATAATTATTATTTATGTATGAAATATTTCTATGCCGAATATAAGATATTTTAGGTTAATTTATCTTCATTAGTGAAATATGTTTGTTTCTTTTATTTCCGGACATAGTATTTATGTTTTTAGTTGTTTTTGTTAATTTTGTTTTTGTTGCCTTACAATATAATTTGATCCACAGCACTAAGTTTTGTAATTTAGTTAATTTCATTATAGTTTAATTGAATAATGCATAATGTATGCTAAAGATTATTTAATAATTACGATTTAAGAAAAATATATAATTTCAACTGAAGTATGAACTTTTATTTTTATCCTCTTTATGATATACTAGCTTTCGCCTGCGTGAAATTTTAAAAAAAAAGTAGCCTATGTGTTTTTCCAGACTATCCTCTATATCTATACCAAATTTCACAGAAATCCGTTCAGCAATTTAGGCTACAAACATCCATTCATCTAAACATTCGCATTTATATTAGTGTGAAGTATGATTAAGTACAATTTGACTCGTTATTTTAGTAAGTAATCATCTGTTAGTTTTGTATGTTACTATATAATTTAAATATGAAAGAAGCCCTGGACCTACAAACTTGTTTGAATGTAGATATCTGTGACTAGGCAAAAACTAAAAAAATGATTTACGGAATTATTCCCCTAAAACTTCATAGTTTGTATAGAGCAACGTTATTCCTTGAAACGAATTACTAAAAAATTATGATAAATGCTTTTCCTTTTTAGCACAAATAAACAATTGCGTCTTTCATGCTTTTTTCTTCAAAACCATAATATGAAATTGATTAAAAGTTTGAACGCTATTATTTTCAGGCTTTGATTTTTAAAAGTTTTGAAACGATATACTGTTTCCCTTGTAACGTTAACATAAAACTGCTTTAAAATATTGCTCGTTTACGCGTTATTTCATATTAAAATGGTTGTAACCGAACAATTAAGACTACTTTTTCGAAACTAACAAAAAAGTTGCTTATAAAATGTATACAAATAACACAATTTTGAAAAATTATAAAATCTAAATGAAAATATTCACACTTCATGAAAACAATAGCATGAGTTATAGCGTTCGTGAAATATAGCTTAAAACATCACTATTCGCGCGCGCCATATTTTATCTGTGGTACGGTTTGTTTGTGTGCGTCGCGGTGTTATGCAGGTGGTGCGGAGCCGTCCTTGTCTGAAAAAATGAAAATGTTCCGTGAATAGTTCCCGACTACACGTGATTATAAAAATCGTATTTATTTTTCAATTTAAAAACAACCTATTCGCCGTCAAACTGGGTACCAAAACGGTGGAAAGATTTTTAAATTTGGCGGACGATAGCTTCGTCGAAGATGTCAACGACGACTTGAAATGTTTTATATCAGAGAAAAAAGTTGACAGGTAAACAATATTCTTTAAATATTCGCATACTTAGTTGGTGAATTATATTATTGTGTTGTGAATGCAGGTTTGGTTAGAAAGCGTGCTAAAGTCGGCGTGATATCGTAATATATTCTTGTATAGTTTCAAGGTTATAATGTCGACCGCTTTCCGGACGTAGGATGTAATCAAATGGAGCGAATCGCTAAGGCGATTTGGATGTAATGGTTATTCACGAACGTAAGAAAAAACTAGCGTCACCTGCAAGTCCGGAGCGATGCCCTCGTTGCTTGTTATTTTGTACAGTATTTGCGATAACAGACAATATTACCGTTACTTCAATTAAATATTTCGCTCATGTAGATTGAAAACATCACTGTATATTTAAAATAAAGTTCACTTATTTTTTTAAATAAATTAGGTAATATCCTACTATCTTTTATTCCAATATAAATTTTGAAAATCCTAATTGAAACTTTTTTTGCATTGTAATTATTTATATTATTTTTACAAAATAATGCATGCACTAAGATATATATTTTTCAAGCAAAACCAACTGATTTTTTTTATGTGAAGAAAGGTTTGCTACACAGATGTAAGCAATTCTTGTAAGACATCATCTCCTTTTTTAGTATAATCTAACCAAGAATATAATCCATGAACTTTATTACAATTAATGTATGCAGTATTATTAGTAGTTTAATATATTTCTGTAACATTAGATGATTTTATATTTCTGGTCAATTATAAAGGTGAGAAATTAGTAATTTTAGCAAATGATACATCTGTGAGTCAGATGTTTTAAATAAAAGTTTATGACGATCTTAATTCTATTTATAAAAATCTGTTCCCAATTTCATGTTATAAATGAGAACATTCATGAAAAAGTTGTGTAAAAATGTTTTCATATATTTAAAAGCTTCCTTTCAATTACTTCTGTGTCTCATGTCTAATTAATATAGATTTATATGTTAAAAATTAGTCAAATGATCATTTACATTAGAGCATTATTTTATATTATTAGAAACAGGTAAAATTTAAGATAAAGGTACTCATGAGGAAGCCTTATGTCCCTATGAACATTGATAACAATATAAATAATACAATATTGGCTTTAGCAAGCCTTTTTATGTCATTACTAGCTTTTGCATGTGACTCCGTCTTAATGAACAAAAAGCAAAATTATGTGCCGTATGTGCTCTTTGACTATCCTCTATATCTATGAAAAATTTCAAACATCCATCCATGTAAATGTTCACATTTATAATATTAGTAAGATTAGTAAGGTGATATGTTAGTGTTGTTGAGGTGGTGCACTAAAATTGACAACTAACACTACCTTTCAAAGAAGTTACCGGTGAAAAATGTTTAGTATGTCCACTCTATATATTTCTTAATGGTCTTTGTGACCACATTTAGACTAGAAAGAAAGGTTCAATATCAAAGATTTTTATTAACTCTTATGTTTATTATCAGTGTGCTGGTATTCCCTCCGGTGAGCAACTACCGTCGCTTCCTGATACACCGTTGCGTGGAACGACTCGGGCGTCCCGACCTCGCCACATTCTCTATTGGGGTCAGCGACGAGCGTCGCACCGTCGTCTGCTACAGGGAACGCATCTTGAGGTAAACAATGACAAAAGCAGGGCCTGTCCCACCACTGGCTGATAGAGTCTCAGATAGCTTAAAAATGATATCACTGTCAGGTATTTTACATGTTCGATTGTTATCAGGTAATCACATAAACTGATGCATAGGCTTGGATAATCCTCGGTGTTGATTTCTTATAAAATCAACCTCGATGGTCAATTAATAACTCGAGAGTGGGCTATCATAGTAAATTATTAGCAGTAAGACAACTTTTGTAGAAAAACATATATGTTACAAAACATTAAAATCAAAATCTCTTATTTTTCCCGTAAATTGATTTAGTAGATTTTTTAAGTCAACCCTTCGTCACACTGGACACTCAAATAAAGGGTTACAGCATAGCAAATATTACAACTAATTTTGCTTATACTCAGTTTGTTCCTGAGTTTAACTTTATGACGTGTTTATTTGTAAGGCTGTTTCAAATCTCAAATTAGTGGCAGGACACTGATGGAGTAAACGATGTTGTTCCTTACCCCACTTAAAATCTTATTTTTAAAACTCTTCGTATAACCCAATTATAATGATTGGAATAGAAAATTCTATTTTCTTGTTCGCGCCTAACCTAATTAGTAATAAATTGGATAACTGTTATAAATGGGCGTTAATAACGCGATCGTAATTAATTATCTATGGTTATTATCGACGCTATTTAATTAACGCTATTAGTCTTGATTATAATTTTAATTAGGACAAACGGTAACGATAGAATAGGGTTGGATAGTAAATAAAAAAGTAAAAAGACATTAAAAATTGTATGGTGTAAAACGATTTTATTGCTTGTCACACCTTTTCGTGTGGCTTCTACCGGATAAAATTCTTGTAGATAAATGCATGAAATATACCGAGGTTACATCTAGAATTAGGGTATATTAGAGACCTTGGGTAAATATAGTCTAACCACAAAACCTTGATAATAGAGCTAAAAGAATCAAATATTTTCTGTTTAATTATTAGTAGATAAAAACATTAAAATCCGATTTCGTTCTATTTGCTATAGTAAACAAATTACGTGGTCCGTACACTCCGCGCACGGCTGCCTCAAATTAATTGCCTAACATCACTGCTTCTAATTGTTGAAGTTGCAATCTATCAAATTGCTTTCTACCGCGCTCTGTTGATTACCGTATTTTTTGCTGCTAGAATCGAATCTTGCGACCTCTATTGGTAAGATACGGAAATCTTTTTCCAAGACAATATCCGCTGGCACTATTGACAAGCAATAAACATATTACCGGCGGTATATACGGTCTGTAAGCCAGAAAAGCATTGTAGATTTAAAAAACGGAAGCATTTAAAATTGGTAGAAGCCAGTCACATCTTTTGCTCAAAGAGGTCGTTTACGCAGTGTAAAAACCACAACAGGAGACACTTTTTTTTTGCCCAAGGGGAATGCTTTACGCATACTCCGCCCCCAGGGGGACGCGGTAGTTATGTGGGACTGTCCCCTCAACAATGGGGGGCATACCCACTAATCCCCTCGGCTCCTCCAACGCAGTAGGCCGGGGCCACGGGCACGCTTTCGCTTACATCCGCAACCTCGACCTGCACAACAGGAGATACGCCTCAAGTGGAAGGAACTCCAAGTTTTGTCCAATGGCTGCATGTCAAATGCCTAATTTTAGTTCCCCTTGCTTACCTTAGCCTTTTCTTTTAAGGAAATTATTGGAATGCGAAGTTGGTTTGACGGTAAAGGAGATGCACACGGGGATATTTTCTTCGCCTTATGCGTCGCCTTTTTCGTTAATTAAGGGTAGGCAACGCATTTGCCATTGCGGATGTCTATAAGCAGCGCTGTCCTCGCTATTTAGGCGAATTCATCTGGCCGCTTGCTCGTTTGCCACCATGTGGTACTAGCTGTTGCTCGCGACTTCGTCCGCGTGAAATTAAAAAATGTAGCCTATGTTATTCACTGGTCACATAGCTTTTTAATGGTGTAAGAGTTTTTGAAATCGGCCCATTAGTTTTTGAGTTATTCCAATACGTACAAATATATAAATCTTTACTATTATTATTAGTATAGATAATAAACGATAATTTGTTTTGCAGTGATGAAGCTTGCGCACGTCCAGCCATGGTACTGACAGTGGGCAACCGCGAGGATGCGACCCTTAACAACGATGGTGAGTATCCATCACCATATTAAACATATATTCAAAACTACCTCATACAACAATCAAGCGGTGCAGGGCCTGCAAACTGTGGTACTATGCGGTACAACAGCTGATTGATAAACGTGACTGACTTATGGCCAGTTTCCCAGCCATGTTTAACCATTCGGTTTAGGTACGATAAATTCATGAAATGCGTTTCCGAACTTCGTTACCTGAGCTTTACTCTGTTGAATTTTTCAACCAAACACTAATCAATCAATAGGTAATGATAAAGTAATTGGATACTTCAGAAACCCAGAGTTAAAGCAGTCCGTGTATTGCGGTCTTTATGGAAGTGTCTTGTGCTTGTAGAATATAAATATGTGACAGCAAGGAAATATATATTTATAAAAAAATATGTGTTGTAATTTAATTGTATTTACATAATTTTTTAATTGGTCACATTTATAGGAGTGTCCAGTGACTCTAAATAAATTTAAATAATTAATGTAATATGAACCGTACGAAAAGACCGATATAATTTTTATATATGTAAATCGATTGAGTCACAGATAAGCATTGAGTTTACATAATTTGACAGTTAACCCAGTGTTCTTAAAAAAAATTACATTTGTATGTGACCTCATTTTTTTCATATTATCTTTGAAAGTTTTTTTTAAAAGATTGTTCTTTAATTGAGCTTTTAAGCTGTCTTGTATCTCCTACTTACTAATTCATCATCAACAGCCTTCACTTGCCAACTGCTGAAATTAGGCCTTCCCCAATGCCTTCCAGAATGCGGAATTGAACTAATTGAATGTAACATTTTACAATTTAAACTAAAACGTTTACTGGATTTTGTATACTAGCTGTTGTCTGCGACTACGTCCACGAGATATAAAAAATAGATTTTTTTAATCTGTTAGTTTCTAAACCTATTTAATACAGAGTATCAAATATTTTTTGTCATTTTTATATTAGTTTTTTAAATGGAAGTCACAAATACTCGTTATTTTTATACCATTCGTTATATTAGTATAAATCATTCTCATATTAGTGTATATATCTATATCTCAAAATATTGGTCAAGTTTAATTAATCAAAATTCCAATTATGTATATAAAATCGTCCTTCACAATGTATGATATAATGGTTGGTACGGTTGACGCAAGCGGGCCGCGCTATGTGGGCCGCAGTGAAAGTGGCACGATGCCCGCTGCTTCTGTGTGGAAATATGACCGTTTGACCCTCATATACGACTTAACAAGGGTCTACGAATGTACATACTTCTAATATTACCATAACTGTAACGAAACGTGCAGGAATCCCTCTGATACAGGGTGAGTCTTAACGGACGAATCACGAGCTTTGTAAAAGTAGAGGACCAATAGCTAACGTTTAAGTAAAGTGTGTTGCCCGATTTTGTATAGTTTTAAAGGTTTGTAGAAAATCGGGCAACATATTTTGCTCTTAAATAAATCGATTTATAACGTGTAGGTAATGAAAAGCGTTCGTTAAGAGGTGGACTGCCTTGCGAGGTACTATCAGGGAGTTTGGCATTGGTCCCTCTTAAAAGCTACAGTCGTTTTAATCTTATGAGACAAAGAACATTAGGACACAGCTTTTAAATGTGTATGTACGTAAAAAGTTAGTGGTATGGCTATTTGCTTTATATTTTTCATCCCGTCGTTTGCGCAATTTACTGCTACCTAATTGGTTATTGCAAGAATTAAGGCAATTTTGTAAGTGGGTCACCGTTTATTTCCGCGACTGTATATATGTTTGATAATTTATACCAAAAATAGAACTGGAACTCTAGAACATTCTATTACGTACAATTTCCACACCCTATATCGGAATCCGAGCTTCCGCGAGCTCCGAGAGACGTAGTGCAGGAAGACATTAAGAAGTCAATCAAGTAATTGACGGCCTCAGTAAGGTTTCTTAAGTAGCGATCGATGCTGAAGGTATTTCTTATAATTAAATCAATCACTAACTGGACTTAAGACTATTAAAGATTACTTAAAATTCCACGAGTGATGATATGTATTAAACGAGATTTATTATTAACTAGCTTTTGTCCGCGACTCCGTCCGCGTAAAAAAAATTCGTTCAGGCTACAAACTCTAACAAGCCTCCATCCATCCATCTAAACTTTCGCATTTATAATATTATATGATAGTATTAGTAGTTTACTGTATTTATATTAATACTAGCTGTTGCTCGCGACTTCGTCCGCTTGGTGAAAGAATTTTTGAAATCGGCCCAGTAGTTTTTGAGTTATTCCAATACATACGAAAATACAAATCTTTCCTCTTCATAATATTTGTATAGATTAAATGAATTGAAGTGTGATGTGAGAAATCTTTACACTTGTCATTTTAGTTTCTAGTATACAATACTAGCTGTCCCTGTGCGGCTTTATCCGCCTGGAATTATGAAAACTTTATTTTATTACTGACATTAGTCACACAATTGCAAATGTCAAAATGACATGACATGATGACAAACCGTGGCAACCTTGCTCCCTTGATGTTGGCAGCATCTTATGGTCTCTTTCCCACATTAGGGTTTTTATCCATAATATTTACCCCCTAAGTTTAATGGCGTGAAAATATATAGCCTAAAGCATGACGTAAATGTAGGGCTTTTTATTAAAAAAATAATTATTCAAAAATATGGTGTAATTGCTGACATCTTAGGCAACAAAGAAGTGTGTGTTTACGCTTTATTATAATAGTATAGATTATAATCCAAGGATTTATTCTTTGAGAATGAATTTATCTATTTCCTTTTATTCTCTACTACAAAAACTTGACAAACACTCAAAAGAACATATTACACAAGAAACGGGAATTTCGTTACGGCATTGAGTGATAGTTCTGGTCAATGTTTCCGGGAAAGGGCCAGGTATCTTTTTTTATTTCTTACCTGAAACATATTTGTGTTAGTAACTATTGTATTACTTCTTAGAATTAAATAAAATGTTTCAGTACTTTTACAAAACAATGTAATGTTATGTATTAAAATAAATTATACTAATGTTATAAATGCGTAAGTTAAGATGGATGGATGTTTGTTAGAGTTTGTAGCCTAAACGGCTGAACGGATTTCGATAAAATTTGGCATATACGTAGAGGATAGTCTGGAAGAACACATAGGCTGCTAAGTTTTGTTTCTTTAATTCCACGCGGACGGAATTGCGGGAAAAAGCTAGTAATAAAATAAAACAGAACCTTTTGTACAACTTGTAATAAAAATAATAAGCAAATATGTGTATCACACTTTAATCTATACTAATGTTATAAAGAGGAAAGATTTGTATTTTTTTATGTATTTGATTCACGCAAAAACTACCGGGACGATTTCAAAAATTCTTTCACCATTACAAAAGTAATTTATCTATAACATAGGATATATTTTTTTAATTCCTCGCAGGCGATATTTACTATAAAGTAGCTAAAACACGAACTATTATAATCCTTAAACTGACATAATTTCCACAGCCCATTAATACAGCCGTGAGAAAAGGGCTCAATAAAATTGTAATTTTATCTCATATCGAAGTTACGTTTAGCAAAGTATTAACTTCTCACGCTATTGCGGTAGTGAATGTGCAATTGTTACGTCATCTAAACAATAATAAAATACGTAATTACATCTGTTTTGTCGTAACGATTTGATTTGATGTTTAGAAAAAAATCTATACTATTATAATAAAGCGTAAACACACACTTGTTTGTTGCCTAAGATGTCAGCGATTACAGCATATTTTTGAATAATTCTTTCTTTAATGAAAAGCCCTACACTTACGTCACGCTATAGGCTATGTATTTTCACACTATTTAACTTAGGCGGTAAATGAATTGGATAAAAACCCTAATGTGGGCAATCATAAGCTACAAGCTGCCAACATCAAGGAACTAAGATTGCAATGATTGGTCATGTCATTTTGACATTTGCAATTGATAATTTGACAAATGTAAACAATATAATATTTTTTTTTATAATTTCATGCGGATGAAGTCGCGCGGAAACAGCTAGTCTGTCATACAATCGATGTGATAGAATTTCATAAATAAATAATAAAAGTATCAACTAAATAAACTAAAACAATCATCTCATACTAATATTAAATGCGAAAGTCTAGATGGGTGGATGTTTGTTAGAGTTTGTAGCCCAAACATCTGAACGGATCTCCATGATATTTGGCACAGATGTAGAGGACAGTCTGAACGGTCACATAGGCTACATGATTTTCTTAATTTCTTAAATGTAGACTATCGACAGTGGAACAGTACATTTAGGTACTCTATCTGATAGAGTGGAACAGGAACCTAAAAGATTTGATAATTCGAGTTACGTTGACATTCTCGTTTAGTGATAGGGCTTCCGTATTGTGTGTTTAATAAAGGAAATCGCGTAATATCCTAAACTATTTCAACGTCTTTTCTGCGACCCTCAGTCAATTAAAGCAAGGCATCTGTAAATGCGGATGTCTATAGACAACGGTTGTTTTTATATCGACTGCAGCAAATGTCTCAATTACCTTTATTATGCTTTAATAAGCAAGATTACGATCTCTTTGGTGACTTGTATATGCTAAGGCACTTAGCGCACAAGTGACATTAAAATCGTAATTGCGCTGTGGCCTACATCAATATAGTCGACTAATTTGTTTGCTGGATCCGACTAATACTATAAATTCGAAAGTTTAGCTGAATGGATATTTCTTAGAGTTTGTAGCCTAAACTGCTGAACGGCTCTCGATTTAATTTGTCATAGATGTAGAAGCTAGTTTGAAAGAAGACGGAGGCTACTTGCATTTGTTTTTTTTTCCTCTTGATTTTAAGTTTGTTTAATTAATGTAATTAAATTATACTTAAATTGTAACACTAATATTATTTGTATGCAAATGCAAAGGCTTAGATGCCCATTAGAAAGCGACTCAAAAACGCTGTACGGGTCTGGTTAATTTTATACAGAGCTAGATAGCTTCTTGACCGACTTCCCAAAAGAAGGAGGTACTCAATTCGTCTGTATGTTTTTTTTTTTTTTTATTTTTTTTTTTTTTT